TGAGAGACAGAGAGGTGCGGGGGAATGGCTCCAGTAGTTTTTAACAAAGTAAAACTGTTCCAGTTTAGATATACATTCCTAACTACACGTGCTCAGGTTTTCAAATACAAGTTGTGACATATTCACCTGAGCTTGTGTTACAGGGTATTAATCTTCTGTTCCTATGCTTGATACTGACTTGTCTCATTGCTTTGTCATCTTACATTTCTGCTCATTTGGAATAGCAGCTTTATGCTTCTCTAATGCTCTGACATTCTCACTGGACTATAACTACTTAAAGACACTGTTTAAATAGAAGCCCTTTTAAAAATTCTAGTGTTTTAATACAATAGACAGAACTTCTGAGAAGACCATGCTAAATAAACACTTCCTATTGGTTACAGTCATGAAACATACACTTCAAAAAGACATTAGAAGACAGCTATTTATGACTTTTCTTTTGCAATGTTTCCCCCTTTTAGCTTACTCAGATTAGACTTGAAGGCACATCCTTATACCATTTGTATTTCGTTTTGCCAGTTGTTAGTGAATCCTTTTTGGTTTCTGATTGTCTTTCTGGTCTATTTTCATTTGGCTCAGAGCCACCACTGCCAGCTAAAACAGGACAAATAAACATTAAGTTCATCTCTACTCAGTTACTGTCAGTGGCATTATCCAGTTCTCCAGATTTGCAATCTGAGAGTCATTTTATAATGTTTTCTTCTCTGCTTTCTTCTTCCTTGATCAAATATACCACCAGAGACTTATTTTCTTTTTTATCTGCAGTAGTCTGATTCAGCCATTCTTTTCTATTATTGAGCAGATGCTCATGGCCTATCACCCGTTACCATAGCAGCTTCTGGATTGGCCTCTTGTGTTCCAGTTTCTCCCCAGTTAATCTACACTTTATTACCAGAAGAAGCTCCCACAAATACCATTCTAACCATAAGAACCCCTGTATAAAATTAGTAGAAAGATCAAAAGTGAATTTTCAGCCTGTTTTTGAAGTCTGTGTAGCAATTATGTACTCCTATTTTCCTCAACAGCTCACCCTATTTCCCCCTCTCTTCCTTTTCTCTATCTCCCAGTGAAGTTTCCAGCCCCATTTCTCATTTTCACATCTTAAGTTCCCACTTAAGCCATACTTTACTTTCTGCCTCCAGTGTGTGATTTGCTACTTCCAAAAGTATTTTTCACAAATGCCATTCCTTTAAATTGGGATACTCACTGCCCACATCACTGTCCATTTATACCCTATATCATCTACTTCTAAAGGTGTGACTGAGAACTTTTAGAATGCTTTTCACAATTACATCTGATTGCTTACTCCTCCCATTCAGTATCTTGTAAGCACGTATAGTTTATTTGTATTTTCAGTTGTTGATCCACATGTATCTTTAGGCTGTTTCCTGTTATGTCTTTTTTTTTTTGGTAATGGAGTTCAAACTGGGACCTTGCACTTGTGAGGCAGGCGGCGGCACCATTGAGCTAAATCCCTGGCCCAATTTCCTGTTACTTCTAACCATGGTATAAACATGCTGAGCTCAAGGGCTCCGCCTGATTTCTTTACTCTTCCTACTATACATAGCATTAGACTCTACATAGGAGATGTTCAATGCATGTTAGCTGACTTTTGGTTATTATTTCATAGTTATAACTAGTGATAAAATCATACTCACTTTTACAGTGGTCAGTCAGAATGTTCACATCGGACTTGATGCAGGCTTTGTCTACCATCTTTACTCAGACATGCAATAACCAGGAAGAGGAGATTGTAGTACTGGCCACAAACTTAATTTTGCATTTTTTCTGCTGTTTACTTCAGTACATATTATATTGAGCACCTCAAGTTTACCCAGCAATATGCTAAGTACTCCAGGCCAGTTATTCTCAAATTCCTGCATATAGCAGAATCCCCTAGAAGGCTCCTCAGATCATTGGCCCCCACTCCATAGTTTCTGACTTAGTAGATCTTAGATGGGGTCCAAAATTTTGCATATCTAACAAATTTCCAGGTGATGTTGCTACTTCTGGCCCAGAAACTATACTTTGAGTAGTGATCAAAGGGATATAAGTGGTCTGAGATGACATGGTCTCTCATTTCAAGGGGTGTTAAGTGGGTCTGGAGAGACAGTGCAGGCCCAGGAAACATTTAACAGCAGAAAATATAATGTTTTAGAATTCATTCATTCATTCATTCATTCAACAAATATTGAATGAGTACCATGTGCCCACTATCATAATAAGATTATATCAGTGAACACAATAGACTAAAATCCTTGTTCACATGGAGAAATTCTAGTGGTGGAAGGCAAAAATAAATATAGTACACAAAATGCAAGATAGTAACAAGTGCTATGGAGAAAAAGCACCAAGAAGGAATAGGAAATATTACAAAGATTGAATTAGAGAGGTCAGAGAAGGCTTCCCAGTTTCATCATTTGACAAATATTAGTTGAGTGATTACTGTGTATTAGACATGGTTAGAGATGATGGCGACATAGCCATGAGTAACACAAAGAATAAATCCTGCGCTCCTAGAATTTGGCAGCCAGGAAACCTAAAGTTTTGGTGTTAATTCTCATAAACTCATGCTTTCACTGTAAATATGTATTTCCCTGCTCTGACTCTTGATTTCTCCGTCTGCTAAATGGAGCAGTCAAACAAAAAACACCTGAAGTCTCTTACATTTATAAGTCCTACCAGATACTAAGTGCTTCAGCCAGTCAAAAACATATAAGTGGGTCTGAAGAATACTTTGTAGAGTAGGAGAAACTTAAATGGCTTTCATAGGCATAGAGGGGCTATGAGGCATATGAGATGGGAAGATAATTTCATCAGAATAGCATAAAGCCAGGCACATGCCTTTAGACCCAGCTATTGGAAAGCTGACACAGAGGAACCATTTGAGCCCAGGGGTTTGAAACTGTCTTGGGCAACATAGTAAGGCCCTATCTCAAAAATAAATCAATAAATACCAACTAAAGCATAGAAGCAAGAGTGAACATCACATGTTCAAAGAAGAACCCAAGAGATCAAAGTGTTCTCATTGGATTGTAGCTGAGAGAAAAATGATAAAAGGCAATTAGGTGTTCAGTGAAGGTGATGTGGGGGCTGATTTTACAGTCTTTAATGGGAACTCACTCAAGGTTTTGATCAAGTAATGATGTGATTACACAATCAAAGTGATGTTTTAAGTGTAACCGACCAATCACAATTAAATCTTCAAGGCTCATAACTTTTTCTGTAATATTGTATTTGAATCACTAAAGGTTAAAGTCTTTGTTATAAGTGACTGCTTGATTCCAACAATATCATCAAACTAATTTTCAGGTCTTTTTCAAGCAACTAAAAGCCAATGATATTACATAAATTTCCCTAACAGTACCACCACATGCTTGAATCATTAACATGTTAGAATTTAGTTTTAGATTTTTGAAATCCTATCAGAAAATTCTTTATAACTGTACATTTCTGTGTTTAAATGGCTGGTTGAATATTGCGTTTATCTTCAGCCACATATATAATTTAAATGACATTTTTTAGAGTGGTACATATATCTCTATGACCAACCTTTTTCCATTTGCTTGGGGTAACACAAATTTCTTGGAAATTATCCTATTGTTTATTATAGTTAAGTTAAAGAATATCTGTGTCTGTTGTATATTTGCTGCTCCCAAAGCTTAAAGTACAGTCCTTATAAAAGAAGTTACTCTAAAAGACAACAATAACAAAGATTTGCTGTCCAAAGAGTGGGTCTTATAGACCCAGAGAAAGGTGTGCCAGGCAAAAATAAAGGAGAGCATCTTGGATATTTGTTATATAAGTTTCACCTTAACTTTCAGTCAACTCATAACTTCTCAGAGACATAATGGTGAACTTAATAACTCACGACAGACCAAACCCTCAAAATTCATTGTTTAATGTTAGTTTAAACACAAGTTATATATGACCTGAAAAAATATTTAACTGTCACCAGAATAAAATAAGCAAACGTGATAATCATAGCCACACTAAGTTGGAAAATGACTATTTTTCTCTTATTTTCCAAATTCTGGATAATATTGCTAGGTGATTTGTTTAGAAAATGGCAACTGTATTCAGAGTCATTTTGAACCATAAGGCATACCTAGAGATATCTTTCAGCACTGTTTCTCCCCCCCCCATTAAGTTTATTGGTACATTTTCTGTATACAATGCAGTTATATTCATCATTGGGATCTTGTACCATTACATGAGTCTCTTGGTTCTTATTTTTTTCCCCTTCCCTTGCCCTCCCTTCACCCCCTCCACCCTCCTTGTTTCCATTTTTTTTCCTCTTCTCCTATTTTTTCCTCTTTTTTCCCTTCCCCTACCCCTCCCAATTACCCTGGTCTTTTAGACCTTTTCTTCCTGTTACACAATATCAGTTATACATTTTTTAAATTACAATATCAATATCTAGGAGACATTACCACAGATTTTACAGAATTTAAAAAGATATAGAAAGCATATTACAAAAATCTTTTTTGAGATAAATTTGACAACTTCTAAGAAGTATCTTGGAAGACAAATTAATGAAACTAACTCTGGAGGAAATATAAAATTTGAATAGCACCTATTAAAGAAAGTATATTCCTAGCTTGAAAACCTACCTATATGACAACAGCAGGCTCATAAACATTTTAACTGATAAATTATATCAAACAATTAAAGCAGAAAAAAGAAGGAACACTTCTCCCCTCATTTTAGGAACTCAACATTGTGCTAATCCTAAAACTGGATAAAGATAATAGAAAAAAAAGAACATAGATAGAAATTTGTTTAACAAAACAAACTATTGGAAGTCAGATCTGGCAGTATGTAGAAAGTGGTTTTGTTATAGCGATGGCAGTTAGCACTGTTTCTTGAAAAGTAGCTCTGAGAGCTAAAACATCTGGGAACTTTGGAATTATAGTACTAAAAATCTGGCTGGGCCACAAGGGTGATCATTTTCTCTTCTATATATGTATGATTTTTTTCTTTTTCTTTTTAATAAATAGGGGATGGAGAATTGTCGTGGGAACATTCTGATGGTGACATCTTCCGGCAACCTGCCAGTAGAGAAGCAGTAAGTGTCAATAGCTCAAGTACTGCAATTCAACACTCCATACCATCAGGCATAGCTTGCCTCTGCCCGTGACTAGTATCCCAGCAAATCCAAAAAAAGGCCCATTTCTAACACTACTTTTTTTCCTCTTCCTTGGAAATTTGAATGACATCATCACCAACCTATAAGCACTTCAGAGCACTTTATAATTGGTAATCAGGACCAGGCCATGAAAACAAGGAAACCGCAGCCCTTCATCTAGATCAGAATTTGATACTTTTTTGGAATGACTTTCCAAATCATATGTCACTACTCCTCTCCTCAACAGTAAGGATCAACTGTATAAGAGTCTTCTGTTAGGTTTGTAAACTAGTCCACTCCATGCTTTTGTGAGATTTGGTGGGTATTTTGGGCATAAACCTTCCCATAATCCTTAAGGTTTTTGGTCATAGAATTAAAAAGAAAAAGAAAGATAGCAGGACAGATACTCCTCCCTTCACTCTGTGATATCTCATTTATGTTATCAGTGCTAATCTCAGGATAAGCCTCACAAATAGGTGTCTCTGTACACTAGAAGTATCTTTTGTTCCTTTGTGTTTTGAAGTATACAGCAAAATAGAACCCCTCTCTTATAAAATGTGTGTCTAAGAAGAGTTACACTTCAAACTTCTAAAATTCTAAAAATGTTTCAATAGAAAGAATGAATCAGATTAAGGGACTTATAAAAGTGTACAAAATGTACAAAAGTGTTCACTGCACATAAATAGGTGTTCATTACACCCTTGTACAAAAAACATACTGGGACATTTATTATAGCACTTTTTATAAGAATAAGAAACAAATGAAGATAACCTAATTAATTATTAAAAGATGCTTGGCTAAATACTCCCAACCTATGGGACACTGTGTTTGTTATAACGAATATGGTATATCTAAATGTAGTAAAGTGGGAAGAATTCCAAGACATATTATGTAGCAAAACAAGATGCTTTCTTTCTGTAAAAATTGTGTGGATGTATATAAATGCATCTAAAAAGATCTGGAAGGTCACATATAGACATGCTAAGAGTGATAACATTAGCGGGATAGATGTGGGCAGAACGAAAAGTAGACTTTGACCTTTTATTTTGTCTTCTGTGCTATTTGATGTTTTTCATAAGCATGAATTAGTTTTGTAATAAATAAAATTTAAATGATTTTCTAAAACCTTCAAAATTTGTTCTCAGCTAGCATTGCTGAGAAGACAGGAACCTAAAAAGTAATACAGCAGGCCTGAGGATAGTGAAGGCTGCAGAAGTGGTTCATAGGTATGCAGTCGTGTGCTGATACAAATATGACCGTGTTCCTTTGGCCAGGCTTCCTGGTCATCACATGGGCCATTTCTCATTTACATGCCTCCAGCTTGGCAACACCCACCACGAAGTCTCAGCTCTGAGATGAAATACTTTCTATTTGCTTTATTCTCTAGCAGCATTGTTTTCAGGCCTGTTTCTGAATGAATGTAGAAGAATTGCAGGTGGGATGTGAAATAGTACTCTGGACATTTTGAAAAAGCAAAAAAAGCTTCTTCCAAGAGAGGGTAGGCTTCCTAGTTGCTAATTAATATAGCTCCTGAGGGAAGATTTTCTCCATCTAGATTCCTTACAGATCCTAACAAGAAATGGTATTAGTTTCAGTTTTCTGTGCTATGGAGTTTCCTCTTTATCTCAGCTCCAAGTTTTTGTTGTAGTTATAAGTTGAGAGTGGCTAAATATGACTGGCAATCAGATGTCATTCCAAAGAAAATTTAGGACTTAGTCATTTTAAGCTATTAAGCCCCCACAGTAAGCACTTCGGCCTCCTCAGCAGTTTTGCTGGTAATGCCACTAATTAGCCTTTCTTCTTTACTTCATTTCATTCTGCCAACAACACCATCTCTTGTTTTTTAGCTTCATTGTACTTCCTAAACTGCTAGTGATAGGAAAAGGCTTCATGCAGGACATTTTGTAGCAAAAGAGATAAGATACAGAGTACAGGGCTTTGAAATAGATTTTCAAAAAAGTTCAAGAACTATCTTTAGAAACAAAACATTAAAGATTGGTAGACCAAAATGAGCAGATGGTTCCTCTTTATTATAAGTAAATATTTTCCTTTATTTGGAAAGGGATAGATATTGTGACATATGATTCCAACAATATATACCATCTGTAGTGATGGAAAAGTAGGTACCCAGAATATAGTAGGCATCCGGTAAATATATGTTGAATGAATGGGTGTGGAAAGTAGAGTGAAAGATGTAACGGGGAATGAATAGAGGGGGTTTTCACATATTTTAATGCACAGGAGTTGTTTGTTTTTAGAGAGAAATTCTTCAAATTTACTTTTTGCCCTTGACCATGTTAAAAATAAGAAGATAGTAGAATTCCTTCTGAATATTCTTTGCAGGCCCAACTTCTTGCATGGGTGAAAAAAAATAGCATCACCAATAACACATTTCCTATCCAGGAGACTGTTTTATTTACAGGGAATTATCAAAACTTCAGTTCTATAAAAGCATAGCTGAGTGATTTATTTTGCCAAATGGGCAGAAAAACATTAGCTTACCAAATTTTATGAAGTTGAATAAAAAGGTGAACCAGTAATTTTAACATGTCTCCTTTGTAAAAACCTTCAACAGTTTTTGCTTTCCAGGTCATAATTACACATGAAATTGATCCTTGTACCATCGGAAGGAGCATGTACTATGGGAATATGTGTGGTATATAGGAAGGAAGTATAAGCACAGAGTGGAAAGCCAAAACATGAAAGCAAGCATAATTCATTTTGGACAACAGCCAGTCTCTGTGTTTTGCCCCCTAATAAATTACAATGGTGCCTCGGTTCACGAACTTAATTCTTTACACAATTCTGCTCGCAAACCGAATTGGAGGAGAACCAAATCAAATTTCCCCATAAGGTCAACATTGAACCTAACCATTGAATCTGATTTGGTTCTTGTCCAATTCAATTTGTGACCAGAATTGTGAAAAGAATTGTTGTGACCTGAAGTACCACTGTAAATTGAAATTTGCCATTTGAAAAGTGAAAGAATTGGGGATATAAAAAACATGAAATGAATAAAAATCCGTATCTCCTTCACATTGTCAGAACAATGGCTTGGAAAGGAAACTGGCCTAAGTGTCTTCTAGCCAGGTACTGTTCTAAGTTAGTAGTGACTAAGATAAAATGTTTTCATGAATGTGTGGATTAGAATACATTCTGAAGACCCTTTTAAAATTGAACTTTTTGGGTTTTTTTTTGTACTGGGCATCAAACTCAGGACCTTGTGCTTGCAAGGCAGGTGTGGTGCCAACTGTCTCCAGCCCTAAAATTGAACTTTTAAGTAAAAAAATGTGAGACTCCCCCAAATAAAAGACCCAGTCAAATGATGGACAACTGAAATAAACAGATACTTCACAGAAGAAAAAGTACAAATGGCCAATAAATACATGAAAAAATATTCAATATCACTGGCCATAAGAGAAATGCAAGTTGAAACTACATTGATACCATCTTAGCCCAGAAAGAATGGCTATCATCAAAAAATCAAATAATGACACACGTTGGCAAGGATGTGGGAAAAAAGGAACACTTCTATATTGTTGGTGGGAATATAAACTAGTACAACCACTATGGAAATCAGTGTGGAGATTCCTCAAAAAACTAAAAATAGAAATTACTTTTCACCCAACTATTCCCCTTCTAGGTATCTTTCAAAAAGTGTTAAAGTCATCACATTATAGGGATACATGCATACCAATATTTATAACTGGTGGATGTAGTTGTAAACAATGAGGCCAAAGAACTTTTAACCAAATGTTTATGGAACACTCTTTCTCTTCCTTCATTTTTAATCTTTTTTTTTTTTGAGACAGGGTCTCGTAGTTCAGGCAGGCCTTGAGCTCATTATGTAGCCCAAGGTGACCTTGAACTCATGGTGATCTTCCTGCCTCGGCCTCCCAAGTACTGGGACTACAGGCATATGCCACCACGTCTGGCCTCCTCTTCCTTCTTGAATCATCTTCCACCCTCCTTCTTCCCCCACTCCCATTCACTTATCCACCTCCACAAGCTCAACCTTCATGGTCATCTGGAATAGTTACTTTTCCTCCCTGGCTTCTCTTTCTCTGTCGAACAAAAGACTGCAGCAAGGTGAAGTTTTGGAGGCTAACTACTCTACATTAGGTCCTCTGATCAAAATTCCTGGGGCTTTTATTTTTTATCTTGAATCATTTTCCTACCATACTAGTCCCTGGTACTGAAGAATAGCTTTTAATTTTGTGCCCACCATCATAAATCAGAGAACTTCTTGTACTTGCAACTTATCGTAGGTCAGCGACCTTCCCTTTCTAATTCTATCCTTGACAAACTCCTTTCTTTTAGCATCAGTGGGACGCCCACCAGGCAAACCGTCTTCTTTGTGTTCCTTTGGCAAAACTTTGCCAAACTCCTCAAAGGTCATAACAATCTGTAATGGCCTTTGTGGAATGTGAGTAATTATGACAGAAAAAGACATATGAGCCATTGTGAGATGAGAAATATTTGCACTGAGGATCTTGTCTGTGAGCCTGATAACAAATTGGTGCAGGTCCTTATTTGTGTGAATTTTATAGCAGTGCACCAGGATAGGCTCTTCTTAGATATACAGAATAATGTGCTCTTTCAAAATGCTGGGTCCTCTTACTTTCCAGCTCCTGTTTGCGCTTCCTTCCTCCCACCCAGAGAGCAATATTAGTTCCAAAAGCTAAATTAGTAACATGTGTGTAACTTTAGTAAATGTTTATGGGTCAGTGAGGTCAGAGGACCCTATAACTATCTTCCCAAGGCTCCTTGCTACTTCTATCACTGACTATAAGGATCTTCCTTTCTAATTGCCTGTGAAAAATTTCTTAATGCTTTTCCTCTCCTTCAACCCTAACAATTGCCCCTAAAAGATAGTGTTCTTTGGCTTTAAGCCTTGAAGTTCCATTCTTCATTTATTCCATGTTCTTTTACCCACACCTTACTTCAGTGTCCAGGAGAGGGGAAGGTGGCAGAATACTGAGGCCATTGTGTGTCTTGGATCCTTGAAAGAAAAATTATTGGAGGCTGTAGTTTCATTCAACCAGTATCTGATGAGCACCTTCTAGATCAGTGATGGTGAACCTTTTAGAGATTTCAATAACACAGCCCACTGCAGCGTGCTTGCCATAGGTTCGCCACCATTGTTCTGAATGCTCAACACTGTTCCAGGCACTGGAGATATCGGAGTGAACACCACAAAGTCCTTGACTCTGTGGAGCTTACATTCCAATATCATGTACTGTTTATAAAATGTCCATCTATTAGTGTTTACTGCCCCTGTATAACTTATTGAGACTATACTTGACACCCATCTTTTCCTCTTCTCTAATACATTTTACACATTATCAGCGTTCATTGCTTTGAAACACAGTTCTGATTAAATAAATAGGACACACGTGTAAATACCGAATAGTTTCTCTAGTGTTAGAAACTGAAAGTGTAAATAAGGGTTAAAATGATTAAAATGAATAATTGATAATTTGAAATAGGAAAAAAGGTAGAAAGATGAAGGAGTGAAGGGAGGGGAAGGGGAAAGGAAAAGAGGGAAAGGAAAAACTATGAGAAAAGAAAAAAAATGGAAATGAAATCTATGTA